CAAGAGTATACTGCTTGCTCAGGAAAACCATAACACTGGAGAACAGCCAAGTTTTCTGAGATTTTCGAGCTTCAGCTTCGTCGCACGACAGAAGTTTTTTTCGCTTTACGTGTTTCACATTTAGTATAATCATCTTAAAAACTAATTGTTACTTACAAAAACGATGTACCTTTAACTTGAAGTCTCCACATTACTATGATTATATGCTTATCCGCCTTAGTCGTTTGTTTCTTCTCGGAAACGAAGTACGTAATGAGCCATACGGTGTGGGTAAGCATTCTGTCTTGATTTCTGAAAAGGGGCAAATCGCGAAAAAGACGGACAATACCAAATCCTTTCTGATCCCCAATTTTTCTGTCCGTTGATCTGAGTGATTTGATACACACGTAGGCAGAAAGTCTCGCTAGAGGAAATTAAGTCGCATTCCTGAAGTTTCATTGTGGTGACATCAACCGGACTCGTACGATTTACTTCGACTGATGACGGATTGGCTCAATGCATTTAATATTCACGCGTGCAAATCGAGTTATTCTGAAAAGCCAACCTTGTTTATTAGATTAGTTCACAATTTAGACTATACATGTATTTATATATTATGTGGAAGGACGTTTTTCGATTAGGTTCAGCGTGGTTCAGCGGCAAAGCGTTGGACTTGAAAACGCTCAGGTCCGAAACCTAGGTCCTCCAAATCTTGAGGCTTAGTATGGTTGGCTGACGACGGCCGATAGACCGAAAATGGCCATCAGTCTTCCTTGCCTCTGCCGGGACTCCTCTCTCTCTCTCTCTCTCTCTCTCTCTCTCTCTCTCTCTCTCTCTCTCTGTATTTACACTTTCACTTGCTCCTGTGAAATAGACCGTATTGGTTGAACAACTTGACGTCTATCCGAACGGATGCGAGAAAACCATCTAGCCTTGCTAAACCGATGCATGCAAAATTCCTTATTATGTGATTCTGTGGCCCCACCTGATGGACAAAATACTGTTGGGGTTGGAGTTGGGCGTTAGAGTTAGGCGTTAGGATTAGGGGTTATGGTTGGAGGTTAGGGTTAGGAGGTTAGGTGTTAGGGCATCTATTTCTTTAACACTCGAAGTACAACCGAGCATTCCCAACAGCTTTTCTTTTGCATACAACTACTTGACCTCGTCGTCCGTACGTTCGCCGACCCCACGTGTAAAAACCCCTATTACCACCGGTCCCGTGTTACAGGTGGCGGGGGTTTGTTTACCTCAGGTGGGGCTACATAATCACATCCGACCCAAAATTCTATCTCAAGAGTGATTATGGCTCGATTTGTTGACAGCGGTTACTGGGTAAGCATAAGTCAAGCATTTCCGGTCAGCTACAAAATATCACGGAGGCACTCAAATTTCCTAAGTCAGCGGATACATGCGACGGCCGAGGCGGCAGCCATATGGTTATTTAATTCATCATTGTGGTTTCAGATGGCGTCCGTTCAAGCCCTCCAGCTACCCTGGCCCAGTTTGTGTCTCACGTTTTTTACCTACATCCTACCATGCCGCGTTACAGAGACGAAACGCAAACAACTCTCCAACACTCCAACCTCCCCCTGTTCCTCTGACAGAACCCGACCATTACTCCTTCCCTTTGTTCGGACATGACTGCACACCCTCGAACGTCCACCCATCACTATTGCCCATGGACTGCTTTTTTCTGCTCTCGCCTCTCTACCGAGATGTATATCAGTGTAGTGGCCAGATGATGAATAGTCGTAAACGTACGTGGTGGTGGCGGCGGTGGTGGTGGCATATGGGAGGACGAGGAGAGAACGAGGCCAATAGTGAGGTACTCTTCCTCATGGTAAGTCGGTGCATTCCTCACTGTGGTCAGTCTGAGGTGTTTCAGGCCAACACAACAGGTTTAAAGTTCTGGCGCGGGAGGGCGTTTCCTGGGGAGGGGGAGGATGGCGGGCGGCAGCGGAAGTCGGTCTTTTTCGGAGTGAGCTTCAAATTGTAGTGACTTCTACCTACTACAGCCGTTACAGCGCCCTCACTTCCAATGCCTCACAGAATAGCCTGGCACTTATGCAGTTACGGGCAGATCGCCTGTGTCCACAGGTAGACGGGTTGCTTACTCTGTCGGCTACTGTGCCTACAGACATCTTTGATCATTTCGACTTTGTTTTGACATCGGAGTGCGATGGATGTTGAATTGGAGTCTGCCATCGATGCTGAGCAATTCTGCTTCGCTGTAAATAAGCGTACGTGCAGGTCAGCGCTACGCCTGCCTCGTGGGTCAGTGATGGGTTACGTTGATGCCGAAAGTCGAAATAATAAAGTCCGAAGCTCTATCCATTCGATCTACGGGTCTTGCCTCTGTTGGCTGAGATGGCGGGGATATAAGAAAGCACAAGGGCAACGTCCACTGGTTTATCCGGAAATGGCACTACTGATTTGTCGTGTTAGGTTTGACTGAACATGAAAATATGGCGACATTTATCTCCTTTCTTTCCGCGATTCACCAAGGTCAACAAATTTTTCATATATTACTCTTGTTGAAGGCAGAGCGTATGCCCTTATGACTACAAAAACCTTATTCAACTGTTCTTGCAAGGTTTGAGAAACCCCATCGTGTTCTTATCCTTATTGATCCCAACGTTTATTCAGGCACATAAGGCCTGCTTCATAAAAAGCCCAAGACATGAACCAAAAGTTTAACTTAAGTGAAAGTCGTCTTATCGCCAAATTTGGAACAAGTTAGTGGAGATACGGTCGGACTGCAAACGCCGTTGTTCGCTGAGTGAATATGATTTTTGCCAAATTATTTGGTGCAAATAGTCCACTTTTCGGTCTTGCGCAAATTGCACATTTCTTTCACGGACATTTCTTCCTGCCAAATATTACGGTGTCTCGAATATATATTTCCACAAGTGGTTCAACAGAGTTAGCATTTACGGAGTCGCCACCTCATATAGACGATGGTCGAATAGCAAATCCTTAAGGTCGGTCGGAATGTGAGCGGCCTACACTTTTTCAGACCATAGTTCCACATACGATCAGGCACGCTTTACAGGCGACACTCCAGATATCATTAATAATCCCTTCCGGTGCTTTCTATCCTCTTATATGATTAATAAAAGGCGATTGCACTTAAACCACTGATAGGAACTGATTGTGCGCCTGACCAAGTAAAGACGGCTCGATTTTTTTATCTTGCCATTCTATTGTAACTATCTTTGTTGACATGAAAGGGGTCTACAAAAGGGATCTCAGAAGTTTGAAAATTCCCGGGTCTCAATTGCAGTGATATAAGTTGATGTGAGGGAGAAAGTACTCCTTGCCAGTGGGATGCACCAAAATTTTCCATTTGCAATAAACGTACTTAAATCTTGCACAATTTCCATCCGCTAGTCGTTTTTATAAGTTCGGATTTGCATGCAATACAGGTTTCTACCGGTAGAAATCAACGCATTGCAGCAGAGCTCACTGTCGCACACTTGATATGGCAGAAAATGTACATGGTGGAAGGATAGCAAATAAGAAGGGATGCGGTGGAAAGCATCGGTCCACAACCATGCCAGATCAATTAATTCCAATTCAATGTAGAATAAGAATTCGTGTCAGAAGCCAACGAAACGTAATAAAATTGGAGTCTGCTAAACTTTCACGCTTTTGGATACAATTTGTGTCTGCAGTGGGGGCACGCGTAACCAATAATTGGTCAATAAGTCAGAAATGGTCTTTACTTTTGCCGCTCATTTTTCGCTACATAAAACAAAATGGGAGATTTAGTTCAGCGCCATATGGACACGTATAGGTTTTGTAAGCTAAGGGGAAACAAAGGTGCAATTTGTACTTACGTAAAGTAAAGGAATACGCAGGCACAAATTACAAACAAGGGACGTACCACAAAGGAGACCCTCATGTCTAATTAGACGTCGGGCCATTTCGAATGCATCCCTATCATCTACACGGACCCAATCGTCCACCACACTTCTGTCGAAGACTGTTGGGATGAAGTCGTAGCCGATGCCCTCGACGTTGTAAGGTCCACTGGTTGGGTTAGGACCAAGAAAATCGTCCGCAAGATTTGAACCCACGGGGTCTACGCACACAACCTGTTGAAGACAAGGGTTTACTATAGCCATCAAGTATATACTATTTAACTCATAATATTATAGGGAGTTGGTTACGACAAACACTGTTTTAAAAGATTTGGACTGTCAAAAAAGGTTTTTACAAAGAGTCAACTTGTATAGTATTAATATTTCCGGTGAGCTGTTCAGTCGCAAATCTACACGAAAACGTAACGCAGAATAAACCCCTGTTATTTATTCGCAGGAATATTCCCAACCAGTCATGCCAAATTCAATTCTAATTCGAATATATGAATAAGAACCGGAGGCAAACTTCAGCGGCTACCAGAAACATAATTAACATTTTCAAGGTGATTTTACTTTCACTTCGAACAAGGATTTAGTGCATAAGACGGAGTTGTTGAGACAGACACATATAAAGTATGCGGAATCGTAAAGACAGAGGAGAGTACTCCTTCTAAAATTATTATTGATTGAACGCTGATGCGATATAAAAGGTGTAAGTCTGAGGAAGAAAAAGGTGAACGGAAATTACAGTCCATGCATTCATTTGCAGAGGTATTACTCGCCTTTAACAAGTACATTGGCAAATACAATTATCTCTTTCCAAACAAGATCATGATAACTGCAGATGAAGTTCTGGCCTTTAGAGCTTTTCTCAGCCAAAAAGTGAACAAAAAAGCCTAACGGCACCGTTACACCAGGTGGCGATGGGAGATTTGAAATCAGAACCAACAACCGAGACTCAAATGCGACACGTGCGCAAAAATGTAAATGAGCATGCTGGAGGTATGAAGCTAACAAACAGTGGAACAGTCGACAGCCGAGATTGCGAATTAATTTTCGAGGAGGTAGTTCCGTTGTTCGACTGCTAGCTATAAGGTACTCAGCATGAAGTAACAAAAATACAAATGAATTAATTCAGTTTTCAGTGTCAGTTGGCAATCACAATAATAGTGAAAAAGCGTTCAGTTAGTGTTCAAGAAATAATGAAATACGCTGTTACACGTAACAGTTGAGCATTAGAGCCGCAGGGGGTGTATCTCATAAAAGCCCTCATCGTTTATATCGCATTCGTTGACCTGTAACAGTTCATTGATTGCATTTTTCTATTTTTTCACAGTCAGTTCTATAGCATATGTACGTAGAATGTTAGCCCGTCAAAGTTGGTGGATTTCGATTCACGGAAACTTTCGGACCCGGCCCAAACAGATTTGCCCGAAGGGTTTATTTCATATTAGCCCGTCAATTTCTGAGATTAAGAAGCCGAAATACCATCAGAATGTTAGGAATAACATACGGTTGTCCTGGGCTTAAGTGCCACAAGAACTGTTAAATAACAGGGGGAAGTAATCTTCATCACTCGGACAGAAACCTTATTCGCCTGAGGTTTCCGTTCCACTCTCAGACATATACTCAATTATAGCAATGGAAAGAAGTGACAGACGCCTACATAGCTGCCGTATATACAGTATGTGGTTGCTATGTCATGCCGCACCTGCTAATTTTTCAACTCTCGTATTCATCGCAAATGTTCGCACTCAGGTCAATAGTGAGGTGATTACGCTCATCCGAATCATAAATTGCCCCAATTCCATGTCCATTGGGGGTGATAATGATCCAGCCATGTCTCTCATGGATACCGTCACTGGAAGCAGCATTTGACTGCCTGCTCCTCGTGTGTGTCTAAATACTCTGACCATGCAACGTCTGGGGGTCAAATATCGAGTGAAGAAGTCACTGTGCTTGTCGATGGACTGTGAACCGGGGAACCATGACATAAGTAGACCGCAGCACACGCGGCTCTGACTTATCTCGAGAATTTTGGCCTTGTCAGACCTGGAGGTGTGGTTGTGTTCCATCGAACAAGCAGCGACTTGAGAGTTGGCATTATTCCTTCTCACTACTGCTGAACGTTCGACTATCCGCGTGCGGAGTGGTCTTCCAGTTTCGCCGACGTGGTCGATCCGTGCACAATTGAACTGCACCAGGCAAACTATCCCAGACGTTTCATGCCACGGTGGTGGGTATTACGGCGCCTTATACTGCCCTCAGATTCACAGGCAACCTCGACCTTAAGAGGTGTGAGAAGGTGGCCGGCGGCCTCGGGGATTTAATTAACGTGTGAAAATGCTCACAACGATCCAGGGCTTCTGTGGTTTGGTCTCTCGTCTCGTTTTTACACCAATGGACGAAGTTACACGAGTAGGTGTTTGCTCTGAGTATTCCATGAAGGTATTGTAATCCGGTAACTGTCTTACAGTTCCCTGCAGTGCATCTCCACATGGCGTTATAGCGTCCTTACGCAAGTTCGTTCGTGGATGGTTGAGTGGTCGTTGCTGAAGCTTAGTAGTTGCATAGCATTTGTCGCTTGCCCTAACGCTTTGGTCTTAAGCTCATTACAATCTTTGCTGACGGCAAGAACATCAATAAACCGTAGTTGACCGTTTTCCTCCTACTATGATGTAAATTGCATGTGAAAAGACGCCAGTTGTGTTCTTTGAATGCCAACCCAGTTCGATGATGACAGTGTCATCCAAAGAACGAGTCTAGGAGTTCCGTCTGTGATATTTGAAAGATCACTGGCGCCAGCCATTGCATGGTTGGTTCGGCCAGGGGTACAGCAGTTGGTTAAACCAGTAATGTACCTTTCCCCTGCTTACAGTGCGCTTCTGAAAGTTAACGACGGGCGAACAGGCCCGTTGTCTAAAGGTCTAGCGTTGGATTTACGACTAAATAGTCGAAGAATTCGGCTTCGAATACCAGATTACCCAACCCCAGGGTTACGCATGACTGACTGATGACGACTAACGGATCAGGAATGGCCACCCCAATCTCCCTTAGCTTTCTTTGACTCAACCTTTCGACATTTGGTTATGAAGCCGAAGGCCCCTCTGCCACGAGGTGAGACGACAAATGTCATCTACCGGGTCAAGTATAAATTTTTTGGAGCGAACTACGTCAGAGAGACAGGCAAACGGTTACAAGCCCGTGGTAATGAACACATGCGAGCAGTGAGGAGAATGGATCCATTGTCGTTGGTGCCGGAACACTGCGCGGACTCTGAACACACTTTCGCCTTCCAGAACGCCAAAAGTCCGGGTCGGGGCAGTGACCGCGTAGCCAGGGAAACAATGGAGGCTTGGCACACGGAGACTACCTCAATAAACCGTTGTGTCGCCCTTCCGGCGGCCTACCAAGTCCTCCGGGCGCAGCTCAACGGACGAAAGAGCATGCGCGAGGTTAGACTAGACGTGAATTCAAACCCGGGAGAACCTACGACGGACCTACACGCAGCCACACCGACGAAAGCTCAGTCATCAACACTGCTACTTCAACCACTACTCCAGCAGACGGGGAGAAACGCGGTCAGAGGGATGCAATCAAGACTAGCAACCCAGGACAGCAACTAAGGTCACCGCGAATGCGGGCGATGGTCACTAACGTTCAAATGCCGCCCCCCGACGAAAGACCGGCAAACTGACAGCAGTCACCCTCACTCCTGCTCTGAGCCGGCGAATACAGAGACTATCCTTGTGCGCGTATGCGGACCATTAGCGCCAAAGTCGATTAACGATGCCCCCGTCTAATTAACACCGTGTTAACACGATTGTCTTCCCCCCCCCTTTAAATACGATGACCTATGTCATCGTCAAGACGAATCAGTTTAACCTGCTCCATACCAGTGTCAACTCTGTATTTCCAGGAATCAAGTTTACTTTCGAAACAGAGGTTGATGGACAACTCCCATTCCTGGATGTTCTTGTAAGTCGAAAAACCGATGGATCACGTCACACATCAGTTTATCGCAAAGAGGCATATTCAGAGGTCATCATACACTTTGAGATTAACCATCCTGTGTCTCACAAACGGAGTACAGTCGACAGCCTTCTAAATCTAGCAAAAACCCGCTGTTCTGATGAAACAAGCTATCAGGCAGAAATGAAATACCTTTACAAACTACTCTCCCAAAATGGGTATCCACATGATTTTATATGTCAATGCATGAGGCACCAGAAATTCAAGGGAAAGGACGTTTCTAATGCTACGGCCGCTCGGGCACCAAAACCAACCACCTGGCGAACTCTCCCATACGTGAAAAATTTATCTGAGCTGGTCGAAAGACAACTAGATATCGTAGATACATGTAGCACACCAGCCGGCAACTACCTTACGCACACAGCTTGAACACCCAAAAGACAGGTTTAGATACCTCGAAAGGAATAGTGTTGTCTATAAAATCCAATGTTCCAGTTGTGATGCCGTCTATTGTGGCCAAACTGGGAAATCTGTCTCAACACGTATATGCGAACATCAGTTAGCTGTGAAGAGACGCGACCATCTATCCTAGGTGGCCGTATACACACCGGACAGTGGACACAAATTTGTGTGGGGAACACTCGCATTATTGGAGCCTGCCCAATAAGGAAAGGTCGTGAACTCCTGGAGGCAATGAACTCAGATGGGACAGGCATCAACCGGCATACCGATCTGGATGTCAGATAAAAAATCGTTAAAGACAAATTCAAAGCGGCTTAACCAATCTCGAGGAGATGACAAATTGCAATCAACATGCATTGGCTCAGACTTTGGCCAATCATAGAATTTCAATTGTAACATGGGAATATTTGGGGAACTTAGACAATCCAAAGATCCCTCGGTGTTAAAGGAACTCAATGAATTCCTAAAGTTTAACACCAGACTTGAGGAGGCACATGTGACGAGGAAATTTTTATCAGGATGTATTGAACGGGGTGAATATCCCAAATACTACTGGAAAACCTTACGGAGAAACCATATCGCCGCAACTTCAACTGCACTAAAACGACACGCAGAAAGTCACCTTGAGACAGTTAATGCCGGAATTAAAGAACTCCAGCGGAACTTGTGTCAGAGAGCAGGGGCTCTCGACTGCCTTGAAAACCACGAGAGATTGGCATTTAAAGACTATGTGGATACAGTCAGAATTAAAAGAATGGAGGCCAGGTGAACTAAACTCCTACGAAGCGTCCAGTCAGTAAATCCTCAGACCGTCCTTCCGAACAATCCGGAACGGTACGTGCATAACTATTCTTTAGTACGTCTTGATAAAGATCTCGTAGAGGTACTAGCTCTTGGCCCTAAGTTTTGTATTGCACGGCGGATGCCGAAACAATTAGAGCTAGAAATCCAATTTGAGAGTCTCTTTAGTCAGACTGCAGATCTAAAACCCACCGAAGCTAGAGAAGTTGATTGTCTTAAGTCGACTCTGGTTAACTTCTGCCAACAGTTTCTAAGGAAGTCCCCGAGAAACAAGGGTCCCTTGACAAGGGCCCATATCGATAGCCTTAGGGAGCTTCGTAAAAACAAAACCATTGTGCCTACTAGATCGGATAAAGGTTCAGGAGTACTACTGATGGATAGGACGGATTATGTGGCGAAACTAGAGGAAATACTGTCGGATCGTTCCAAGTTCTCAAAATCTGAGAAAGATAAGGATCGCACGGAGGCTCTCGAGGGTCAGCTGACGACTATTCTCAAAGATCTCTGTAAAGAAGGCCATTTGTCCAGCAAAGAGTATGAACGACTGAGACCGGTGGGCTCGACAATACCAAGAATGTACGGCCTTCGTAAAATTCACAAACAAGGGCTGCCTCTACGTCCAATCTTGGATATGAGGAATTCGCCCTATCATACCGTTGCAAAATGGCTAGTGGAAAGACTAAAGCCATTGCAAAGTTACCTATACCCTCGAAGTTTAAAAGACTCCTTTNGACTGCGGAAAAGAAAGATGTATTCATAAGATTGCCTTTTAGAGGAGACGCAGAGAGCGAACTAGTCCGACGGCGCTTAACTACAGCTATCACGAGGGCATTCCCTGCGGCGAATTTACGCGTATGCTTCACAAACTCTCCCCTCCTACGTTTGGGAGGTAAAGACAGACTACCGTTGGAGGCCACATCAATGTGCATTTATTCATTCACTTGCTCCTGTGGAGCAGGATACATCGGCCGCACAACGAGACGCCTGGTAAAGAGGGTGCGTGAACATATGCCCGCCTGGCTAGACAGAGGTGAGACCCGGTCGATTTCGAGTTCTATTCTCGCACATTTAATCGATACGAACCACCGAGTCGATGCCAAGGAAGCATTTCAGGTTGTCTACCGGACACCAACATGCGTCTCTAAAGGCCTACGCCAACGGATACTAGCAACGGCAGAGGCAGTAGCTATACGGTTAGTGAATCCGGTGTTATGCTGTCAGAAAACTCTGACACAAGCGCTTTCGCTGCCGTGGCCAACGCCAACCCCAAGTGATGAAGCCATGCCGCCTCAAATCCCTAATCACGATGATGGGTACTCCGTGTACTCAACCCAAGATCATTACTCAAAGACTCTCTTACCCCCCTCCCCTAGCTCTGACGACTAACACCCGCTGACCTTCTCATGCGGGCGGCGTGGGGATGATGAGTGTTAGTGACTTAATAGCTCTTGAGGCATCTATAAACACTGTTGATTTTGTACATTTTCATTCGTTCATGTAATTGTATTGGCCTGAGGAAGAATTACCGAAAACGTGCGTTCGCCAACTTGACTTTTCAATTGTAACATGGGAATATTTGCGGAACTTAGACAATCATAGAATCCTTTGCCAGACTCAGTTTAGAAGTTAATTGGGCTAGATCGCAGTTGGTAGCCAGGCCCCGTATTACAGGTGGCTGGGGGGGGGGTTGTTTACTGGGGCTATTATGTGGGGCTCCATAATCACATCTGACCCATTTGGCTTCCGTTTTACGTTTAAGGTTCGGATTAGGGTACCGGTTACTGGTTTCTGATTTTCCGAATAGGCTTATGCCTTTAGGCTTAGGTTTTCGGGTTACGGTTAGGGTTTGAGCGTACGAATAGGTTTCGGTATTACAGGTTAGGTTTTTCAGTTACGGCTATGTTTAAGGGCAACGGTTACGTTTACAATTTCGATTAGGGTTAAGGTCGCCGTCCACATCCCCATTCCTGGCTACCAACTGCGATCTAGCCGTTAATTGTTTTTGCACTCGCATAGTCTGAAGACGAGCTGGGGAACCAGTCTCGAAAATTTATTAAATAAAGTTTACTGCTACAATCTACTACGCTACGCGACCAGCCTGTAAACCCAAAGGATCGGGCTGGCTATTTGGATAGCAAAGAAGAAGTCTACAACATTCCGTATGGCACTTGTAATGCGAGATATTGCGTTCACATAGAAGAATTCGCCTCCACACGCTTAAATTAACACCAATTGGCAGTAAAGAAACGGGACCACTTATCCCAAGTCGCAATGCATACTATAGAAACTGGGCACAAAGTTGCTGGGGATAAAACAAGCATTTTCTGCTCCTAACCATACAAGAAACTCCTATAATTGCTGGAGGACATTCACTACGATGATTAATGCATCAATGGGTTCATAGATCTGGACGTCATGTACAAAAGTCTCAATGAAAAGGAAAAAGATGATAGCCAATCAAAAAGAGACGTCGGCCCACAGCATCAACCTATAGTCAGCACTGAAATAGCAATATCGAATTTTGGGCATGTTTAAAGTTAAACTGTTTTTCACACTTTCTACATGTCTCACGACGACCTGGGGAATCAGCGTCGAAACTTTATGAGATAAATTTGTTCCATTTCCTAAAGGACTCATTTCTTACGAACATATATACATACATACATACATATACATATATGAAGTGAGAAGGCTCATCGGAAAAATTGAGTTGTACTCGTGAATTTTCAAGCTGGTGACACCAGCCCGTCGTCAGACAAAATAAACAGTTTATTTCGTCCGACGACAGGTTGGTGTCACCAGCTCTAAAATTCACGAGTACAACTGAATTTTTCCGACGAGCCTTCTCTCTTCATCATATTATCTTGGAATGCACACTACCATAAATATTCAACATATGCATATATATATATAAATATGAAGGTATTATACCGTACTCCAGACATAAATACTTGCTAAAAGCCCAGACACGTGTTTCGCCGATATTCTGCCGCTGCGTGACACAGCTGCGAGGGGTTCGGCTCTTCAGTGGGACCCTCAGCGTTCTCTAGCGGTTTCTGGTATATGAACTCCAGAGAATAATCAAGTGAATAATTTCAGAAATTACTCAGTGCAGGACTTGGAGTTAAATCTCCGAGATATGATTTTTAGGGTCTGCATATATATACATTCAAAAGAAATATGCTCCTTGGGAAAGATAAACAATTTCTATTGCAAATTTTCGACCTTGGTTCCCCAAGTCGTCCTCAGACGTGAAGAAAGTGCGCAAGAACAGTTACCATTTAAACATGCCAACAAATAGATTTTGTCTTGTCACTCCTGCTGACATAATGTCATGATTGGCCAATGCCTTTTCCACTCCTCCTTGAGGCTGTTTTACACCGCATCCAACTCTCCGTGTCGGTTGATGCATACGTTATCAGAATGAATGACCTCTACAAATTCACGGCCCTTTTGAGATGGGCAGACACCTACAATGCGAGTCCTGTCCCAGGCGAATTTGTGTCCAGTTTCCAACGTATGCATGGCAACTTGGGACAAGTAGTCTCGCCTTTTTACGGCCAACTGATGTTCGCGTATTCATGTAGTGGCCGATTTCCCAGTTTGACTACAGTGGACCGCATTACAGGTGTGGCATGGTATCTTATAGACGACTTCCAACCCTATTCTTAGGATGTACCAAATACATGTGGCGCACAAACCGATGACTACACTTCGTAACCGGCTTGTACACCTTAAGGATAGGGTTGGCTGTTTAAATAAGAAGGAAGTCGTCTTTAAGATACCATGCCACACCTGTAATGCGGTCCACTGTAGTCAAACTGGGAAATCGGCCACTACATGAATACGCGAACATCAGTTGGCCGTAAAAAGGCGAGACTACTTGTCCCAAGTTGCCATGCATACGTTGGAAACTGGACACAAATTCGCCTGGGACAGGACTCGCATTGTAGGTGTCTGCCCATCTCAAAAGGGCCGTGAATTTGTAGAGGTCATTCATTCTGATAACGTATGCATCAACCGACACGGAGAGTTGGATGCGGTGTAAAACAGCCTCAAGGAGGAGTGGAAAAGGCATTGGCCAATCATGACATTATGTCAGCAGGAGTGACAAGACAAAATCTATTTGTTGGCATGTTTAAATGGTAACTGTTCTTGCGCACTTTCTTCACGTCTGAGGACGACTTGGGGAACCAAGGTCGAAAATTTGCAATAGAAATTGCTTATCTTTCCCAAAGACCTTATTTCGTTTGAATTATGATTCCTGAGATGCCTGTTTTCAACTTTATACCTATATATATTTAATTAGGAATGGGCGCACACCGATCTATTGGTTTCACGAAGAAAAGAAGCTCCGTATGGATGACAATGGTCACGAACATGCAACTAATCATATATAGGGTTTTATTGGCCTGACGCTTCGAAAGCAAACAAGCTTCCATCATCGCAGTTGGGTTGGGTACGGCACGCTGCATTATTTAATGGATTGTCTCCGCGCTGGCGTATCACTGACTTCCGGCGCACTGCATTAAGGGGTAGACTAGCGTTGTCATGGTGGCATCGGCTCCTTCTCAACCTTTGTCGAGTGGGGAGGGGGACGCCGTCTGGCTGACCGCGGCTATTGCTCTTGTCTGCATTGTCCGTTGTTCGCCTTCCACGTATCTCGCCTTCCTGTTCCTTTCACACCTGCCCGTAACCGTGTGGACGGTGGTTGTTATTTCAGTGTTGACGTCGGGCTGGGGGTCCTTGTCACTGCCGTGCGGTCTCGGCGAGTACTCGTGTCCATCTGCTTTCTGACCCAGTAGGCGGTCTCCTGGGTTTGCGTTCGCCGCCGGTTGTCCCATGTTTTTGTCTGTTTCCGACGCCTGTCCATGCTCGTCCGTTTTCTCGCTTTTTCTGGGCTTCACTACTGCCGTATCTGGCCTGACGTTTCACACGTAGTCCTGCTTACCGAAATTCACCCGTAGGGCTTGGTAGGTAGCCGGCAAAGTTACGTAGTGGTTAAGCGAGGTAGTTGTGTTGTGCCATGCTTCTAACGTCTCTCTGACCGTTTGATCGTCTTTGAAAGCATGACCAGAAGCTGCGCAATGCTTCACCACCAGCAAGAGCGGTACGAAGAATGGATCAGCTCTCGCTGGTGGCGGAAAATTACGCAGCTTCTGGCCATTCCTTCGCTTTCCAAAATACCATGAAACCGACGTACACCTCAAGCGAGTGCACATCATCGAGCTCCTGGAACTGTCTTTTAGAACTTTCTTCACGTTTAACGGCCAGGTTTACGAACAAAAGAAGGGGACGCCGATGGGCTCGCCTCTGCCTGGATTAGTTGCCGAAGCGGCTTTGCAGAGGCGCGAGTGGCTGGTCTCTTCATCATGTACTCGCCGAAGATCGGGGCAAGATACGTCGACGACACTTTCGTCATCATAAAAAGGAGCGACGTGCAGGCTTTCAAGGCACTGTTCAATTCAATCTTTCCCGAAATCCAGTTTACTATGGAGAAAGAGCTCAACAATCATTTGGCCTTCTTGGACGTACAAGTGACAAAACTGACAGGCGCGAAGATAAAGACAACGGTCTACCGCAAGGCAACTAATACCAGGTGAATCCTCCACTTCTGAAACAACCACCCCGTTGGTCACGAACGCAGTCGTGTCAGAGCCCTCTTCCAACGCGTTCAAACACACTGCAGCGACAACAATGGGAGGAAGGAAGAGATTAAGTACTTGCACGCCCTGCTTAAAGCCTACGGTTATCCGAAGGCTTTCATACGCGAGGGTATTAGGAGGCCCCACCTTGTGCGGTCGAACAGGGAAAACCTGAAGTTTTGGCTTGCAATCCTTTATATGAAGAACGAATCAAAAGCGACGGCAAGAATCCTGAAGCCGTTCGGGATCGGTGTGGCTCATAAGCCAGAGTCAACAATTAGACAACAAATAATGAGGCCCAAAGACCCGCCACCAGCGACAGAACAATCAGCGGTGGTCTACGGCATACCATACGAAAACTGTGGTGCAAGATATGTTGGTGAAACGGGCAAATACCCTGGCACAAGATTGCATGAGCACCAGCTCGCAATCAACCGCATGGGCAAGCTTTCTATGGTTTTTGGCCACGTGCAATAGAACCACAATTTCGCCTTTGAGAAGGCAAGGGTAATCGGCCGAGCCAATGATAAGATGGCCAGACTGATGCTCGAAAGTTCGTCGTCAACTGGCATACATAACAGAGCCATAGATCTGAATCTCATCTACCAGGAGCTACGCACAAGGCTCGAGTCGGTGCGTACAAGGCCGTCAGGGTAGTCGAGCAAAGTCGCGTGTGGCCTACGATTGATGCCAGCGGGAGATAGGAGAGAAGCCGGCCGGAGGTCATGTGACCAGCACGGGGCACCACCCCACCGCGGCGCCCAAGAGGCTGAGATAAACTCACACGAGCCCCAACAACTGATCAGTCCGTTGGTCGACGAGGGGAAGGCCGACAAGCATGCCGCCTCGCCTATAACTACGGCGGCCGCAAAGGGGTCAAAGGTGACAGGAGCCCAACGTCGGTCAACCTCAGAGAGGTCAACACTGATTAACAGCGAACGGGCAGGTCATAGTTCGTGCCTTGAGCACGGGTATAACACCAGGCGGGCATCAAGGCTGAAGCAATCAAGGTCAGCGGGAACAACCAACATACTACTCTGATGATGGAAACGTGAGTTCTCGAAACGTCAGTCCAATTATATTTCGGTCCTTGAACTCGTCCGCTCTTCTTTGTCTTCTTCGGGGGATGATGAAAACAATATGCATACATATATTTCCACATGTATTCACTCAGGGATGAACGCACACCGACCCACTGGTTTTCCGAAATCAATAATCTTCGCATGGGTGACATGGGTCACGAACAGGAGACCATGTGGCAGGCCAAAGCCGGCCAAGGTATAATTGCAGAGGGAGACGACAGAGTTTGATAGTAGATTGACAGAGAACTGTTTTGGGGTTGCTTGTCTTCATTCAGCCAATCACAAACCTAACCACCAGCTGGGACCGGAAACACAAACATGCGCACACAGAGCTGGCGCAGCTGATCCACCGGTGTGGTCTACCCGATGGGTCATAACCACTTCATCGAACCAAGATTCACCAATGCTGAATTAAGTGGCTGAATTAAGGCAAACACGCCCGAAACCGTTCTGCATAAATCTACCTCTCAAATCCTGTCGCCTCTACTCTGCTATCCTAGGTTGGTCAATTTCGGCCTGTCAGCTGGTTGTCTGTTCGTAACCCCTGTCACCCATTCGAAGCTTGTTTGCCTCGGGAAGTCAATGGATCGATGTGTGCCCATTCCCGATTTAATAAATACCCGATCAGCAGCGACAGAGAAGGGCAGGTGGCGAGGCACTGATGAAATTCGGTTCGATGAAGCGCTTATGACCAGTCTGATGGACTCCAGTGGTGGACCAGTTGCGCCATTTCTGTGTGCACATGTTTGTGTTTCCGATCCCAGATGGTGGTTAGGGTTATGATTGGTTGAATGAAGGTAAACAAGCCCAAAACGGTTCTGTATCCATCTACCCCCAGACTCAGAAGTAAACTCTCTGATATGTATGTACATGTAAAAATGGTATTACGACAGAATGGTATTACCAACAAAGACAAGGGGGACTGGTATTACGACAGTCTGACCATCGCAAACAATGATGCCTGTGTGGGCCACGACGTGGTTAGTGTGTGACCGTGCCTTGCGCGCGAAGTAGTTTATAGGGATAACAGACGTGCCTGGCAGCCTATTAGAAATTCGATCTTTCCGTGTAGGTGACAATTCATACTGTGGAATTTTTGCGTATCACGGTTAAACAATAGTCTGCTGTGCATTCTGCAACTTTTATTATTATACTGCTTCAGCAAGTCTGCCTGTTAGCACCAGCAGACTTGTGAACATGCATCACCATCCAACTCACCTTGCACCGAGGGACGCGTTGTTTAAATTTTCGTGCGATCCCCGTTGCGGTGCCGCCAGTTCCGGCACCAATCACAATCATGTCAACGCGTGGTTTTCCGTGGCAGTCAATTACAGCTTCCAAAATTTCCTCCGCCGTCTGATCGTAGTGGGCGATCGGATTGAAAGCATTGAGGTATTGATCCGGAATGTGCGCATTTGGACCCAACTCCTCTTTGATCTTCGCTGCTATTCGGATGTGCGAGTCCACATCGTCGACCGAGGCTGAGGTACGTGTGCGAACCAGTTCCGCGCCCAGCATCTGCAGGACGTC